TTTTACCTCTCCTCTTGTATATTACATTTTGCGTATTCGTTATAAAATCTTCGATATTTCGCTTTTTCTTATATTTCAATGCTTGTATAACCATTCTTTAAATTAATGATTATTTTGTATATATTTATCTCTATAAAAAAAGTGCATACTCATATTTTAGCTGAGTGAAATACTCGTTAAAACATTTAAATTGATAAATTTAATTCTTAAATAATTTAGAATTTATAGTTTTTATTTTTACATTTAAATAGTAGATGGGCCTCCAAAGTCCAAAGGCCTGGCAGGGATTGATCGCTCATCTAAGGTATATTCTTTGCCTAAAAGATTTTCTAACAAGAATAACCAATGTTTATATTAAATTTTTTCCATAAATAACAAAATTTATTTTGTTCAAATATTCTAATATTAAAGAATCAGTATTGAGATAATATTTAAGACTATTTATAATATGTTATAAATCAAAACATATTAAATATAAAAATAATCTGTAATGTATTTATATATTGTCAAATATGATTTTTTTTTTAAATTAATGAATTTAAATGCACGCTTATAAATTATTAAGTTAAGTTATTTCCTTTTATATTATAAACTTTTTTAAATCAATAGCATGATTTTTTTAACCGTTTTTACGAATGTATGAATTTTTGAGTGTGAATGCTATTTTATATTTTTGAAAGGAATTAAAAATATTTACTTTTTATTGATTTATAAATATTAACGATTATAATATAATACTTATATTATAAATTATATTTACATTATATTCAAAATAGGTATAATTATATTTTTAAGAAAATAATATATAAGATCTTTTATTTAAAAAATTTAATTTACAGGACAATACCATTGCTCAGGTTCAGTATAGTACAGCAGATAAAGTAGAAAACATAGAACATTCACCAACTATTAAAGTCATGGGTATGGAAATGACAGCTAGTTGTGAGAATAAGGGTAGTAGACCTACTACTCCTATAATTCCAATTTCACCAAGGTAATGGAGAGATTTTGAAAAAAGTATATTTATTAAAATTTATATTATTTTTAATAAATACAATTATTCTGTTTTAGTCATATTGAGAGGGAAAAAACACCACCAAAACCAATATATTTAGAAGGTGCTCTTCCTCCACAATGTGAATTGCTTGTAACAGATTCAGAAACTCAAGCTCAGAAAGCAGAAGAGGATGTAGAGGCACCTATTGTACTTTCAGGCAAAATGACTCTCTCTCTCATCAGTCTCGACCAAAATACAGCTGTAAGAAAATATTAGAATTACAACAGAATCAAATCTGAATCTGTGGAGCCTTGTTTTATTTGGTGATTCTTTCATTCATTTAATTATTTGCTTCTGTATAGATTATTTAACATAAAAATACAACAAATCACAGAAACGATAAATAATCAAAATTATTGTTTTAAAATAATATTAATTAACATATAAATTTAATATTAATATGCAACATTATTTATCTGTGATGTTGTAAATATTAATATCTAATTTACATTCTAAATTGATTAATATTTTATTAATATTTTATTAAAATTAATATTTTAATTTTTAATTTTGAGAATGCATTATACATATATTTCACATTTACATCATATAATTATTAATTGAATAATTACATTTAGCATTTATAAACTTTCTTTTTAGTATATATATTATTATTTTCAATTATTATTTAAATTTATATAATTTATTTTATATTTTAGTTATTATATTATTTTATTTATTATTGTGACAATACTTTTTCGAAGTATAATTATTATATATTTAATTAAATATAATTTTTATTAATTTTTAAAAATAAAATTGTTAAATATCTTTTTATTATATTAGGAAATTGATGAAGAAGATCAAGAAAAAAATGCGAAAAATATAAGAATCTTGAATTCAAAAGATACAGCAAAAGTATTAAGTATTAAAAAAAATAATAAAGAGGAAATTGAGAATAAAGATGAAATAAAAGAAATTTATCAAGGAAAACAAATAGAAATAGAAGAAGAAGAACAGAAAAAATATTTAATACAAAAGAGGACAGAAATAAAGCCAATTGGATATAATGAAGAAAAAGAAAAGGAAGAAGTACAAGGAGTTGAAGAAACAAAAGAGATTGAAGAGATAGAAGAGATTGAAGAAGATAAGGAAGAAGTAGAACAATCTGAAGATGAGAAAAAAGAAGAAGAAAACGATAAAGCAGAAATAGATAGAGATGATGAAGAAAATGATAAAAAAATTAATAAGATTGAACAGTATAATGAAAGAAGTGAAGAAGAAGTAGATAAAAAAGAGGAGGAAGATGAGGAAGAAAAAGAGGAGGAAGATGAGGAAGAAAAAGAGGAGAAAGATGAGGAAGAAAAAGAGGAAAAAACAGAAGGGAGACTAGAGGAAAATGAAAAAGAAAAAGAAAATAATAACAAAAACATATAAAAAATGTATTATATTTCGTGTTAAATGATTGAAAAATAACAAATATACAGAAGATAATAAAACTTAATAAAACTAATAAAAAACAACGAAATTATAAAAATTTGAGGAAAGTGAAATTAAATAGATTAAAGATGAGGATTAAAGATGAGGATAATGGGTTGCCTTACAATGAAAAGACAGTTCAGAATAAAAATAAAAATTATAATGACAAACATTTGACTAAATCAGTGTTTACCAATCTTTAAAATTTATGGATTACAATAACAAAAAAATAACAAAATAATTGACAAAAATAATCATGAATGATACAAATCTTGGTTAAGCACTGCCAAAGACCTAATATGATATAAGACTCGAATTTATTCTATGATTACATTATTGCCTATTGTATCTTATATTTCATAGAATCAAAAATTTATTAATCAGAGGGGCCAAATAAAAGGCAGTGTATTGTGCACATGTCTGATTGAGTCATTGTATAATGATAACCACAGAATTCAAATACAGTCAATAGGCACTAAATAATTACTGATAAAACTCTGGTATTAATTCTATATTATTGAGTATGATGATTGGCAAGCACTGATCTATAATGCTTGTACACATACCAATTATTTAGTTCCATTTTGAATTTTTTTATTTATACAAATTTTTTGTTCATTTTTTATTTAATTTTATATGCAATTCTCTGTGCAGTATTTGAGTTATATTTAGATTAGAATTTTTTAATAATGTAGTTTGTAAAACTATTTAGTATGTAGCAATGTCATTTTCATACCTATGTTTAATTGTGCAATTTCCATACTAAATATAAATATTCGTCATTTTACTTGCTACATTTTAAGATGTTATGTATATAAAAAAAGAAAAAAATACAAGTTGAAATCATACTCAGTGTTGTGTAAAAATAAAAATTAGTTTAATTGCATGATAATGTTAAAAATGAATAATAATATTTAAATCATTCATCTTTTAATAGTTATTATGAGATGACATTATTAATATTACTGTTATATGATGTCTATGTGAGTAGATAATGTTATAATTGTGATCAAATATATTTTAAAATATTTTTACGTGAAAAATGCCGAATTATTGCATTTTTTGTAATATATATTACTATTGAAAAAACGCAAAATCATATAAATGTTTAATCTTTATAGTTTTAAAATTATTCCTAATTATAAAAATTTTAAAAATATACTTCATTAAAAAAATAAAAATTTAATGCAATTATTTAATATAAATTTAATAAAAAAAAATTTTTTTAAAATAAATTGCTTTAAAATATAATTAAATTAATATGCAATGAATACATTTTGTATTTATTTGTTAATAAAAATATCAGTTTATTCAAATCAAAATATCACATATAATAAATTATAAGCTTGTATTATACAAGATATAAGATATAGATTTAACATTTAATAGAATTTTATGTCGTACATTCTGAATTCGTTAATCACGTAAAAAATTAGAATATTTGATATTTATAGATATTATATATTGATATATTGAATATGCTTTATTGTATTTTTTTGATATAGTACTATTTAAAATTTAAAATTGAGTCAAAAAATTACATTCATTTCAATCATGAAAATTGTTAAAATTAATAAATTTTAAAAATAATTTTTAAATGCGTATAAATAAGAAGAAAAATAATATAAAAAAGATAAAAATAAGTTAAAAATTGAAAATCAACGGCATCTCTAGAGTGCTATAATAAAACAAATGAGGTAAAAAAAATAAAAAATAGGAAAAAGATAAAAATAGAATAAGAAATGCCTAACAATATTAAAAAGATGGTGCTGATTTTCAATTCTTATTCTTTATTTTTCTTCTACTATTTCTATTATTTGCTCTCCTTAATCCTATCTTGGTTTATGACACTTTAAAGATGGTGCTGATTTCACAATTTTTTAATTTATCTTTGTCTTTCTCTTATTATTTATTTTTTTTGTCGACATTAATTTCACTTATACATTATAATATAATTGTATAGAGAATCATATTACGTATACGTATAATCATATCTACATAACGCGCGCATATTATATATATTGTATATATACATATATATAATATATATACATATATATATTGATATATATACATATATACAATATCAGTTTTCCATCATGTATCACAATTAAATTACTTTGTAATCTTTATGTATTTTGTGCCTACAACTTAATAAACAATAAGATTTATTTAATATTTTTTAAATCATAATATTTTTATTAGTGCAAGTTCTGTGATAGTTTAACAAATTTAAAATCAAACAGACTTTTATTTTAAATTATATATGGCTAACCTATAAAAGGTTATTTCAATTATATAAAGGAATAACACATAAAATTTTAAGAATTTAAAAATTTAATAATAATCTTAAGAATGCAATCTAATGAAAGAAAATATATTTTCTTTTATGATATAAATTCATATATATTATTATAAAATTATAATTTCGTAATAAAATCGTAATAAAATCTTGCGTATAAATATGTACTTTTACATATTTAACTTGAAGTTTTATTATTATTTTAGTGCATAAATGCGATAAATGAAAGTGCGACATTTTTTTGCGGGTATCCTTATAGGCATTCCTATTGGGATCACCTTTTTGGATACAGTTGGTTACGTAGCTAAAGTAGAAGGAGTTTCTATGCAACCAACTTTGAATCCAGATGAGAGGAATCCAGATTATGTTTTTTTGAATCGTCGAGCAATTCGCACCCAAGATATTCAACGCGGTGAAATAGTAACTGTTAAATCTCCAAAAACTCCAGAACAAATTTTGATTAAACGTGTTGTGGGACTTTCTGGAGATATAGTACGCACACATGGGTATAAATCAGATATTTTTCAGGTATTTAAATTATTTATATTAAATTTGTAGAATTCATGAAGAGAATATATTTATATTTGCTTAGGTACCAGAAGGTCATTGTTGGGTAGAAGGAGATCATATTGGACGATCTATGGATTCTAATACTTTTGGACCTGTTTCTCTTGGATTAATAACAGCAAAAGCTACTTCCATAGTCTGGCCACCTAGCCGTTGGCAATATCTTTATCCTTCCATGTCAAATCACAATTTTCCATTAAATTCACCAAGAATACCAAGATAAAATTTGTTATAGAAAAAAAATGAGGGCTGTTAGTTTTGTCAAAAGATTGCAATGGGATTTACCTGGTACTGTGTGTAGACATGGATTAACAATAGGAGATGTTGATAATGATGGTGATAATGAATTAGTTGTTGGTACTGCAGAAGGAGAACTTTATATTTTTAAAGTGAATTTTTTTATTCTCTAACAATTCTTCAATATCAAAAATTATTGAAATGTGTATTTTAAATATTTTTATTATTATTTTTATTATTATATTATAGGGCTCAGAATTATGGCAAAAAATACCTGGATTAGGTCTTATTACTAGTGTAGCAATAGGAGATATCTTTAATTATGGACGAAATGCATTAGTTGTAATATGTGGAGATGGTTGGGCACATATTTTTTATAGTCCAAGATCTGTTAATCCTAATATTGTTAATATAAGTTCTACTCAATTAAATAAGGAAATAATTGATCAAGATAACATGAAACATAGTAAGTTCATTTTTATTGTATCATATTTAAAATTAAGTTTATTGAAGTTTATTATTGAATAAAAATTATAGGTCATGCAAGTGTGGATGTTATAACAAGTGTTAATATGACAAGTTCCTCAAGTTTAGATCAAATAGATGGTAACAACGAATTAAATGAATTGTCTGGTAAAATGGAGTGTGTGCATGTACAAAGAATTCCAACCAACACAAAGATGATTTTAATAGCAGATGTTGATAAAGATGGTGCAAATGAGATGATACTTGCTTTGACTGATCGTGTAGTTAGATCTTATAGATGGTCAAGTAATTTAGAATTAGGAAGAGGAAAATTAGTTGGATTGAACAAATGGGAATGTGCAAATCAAATAGGAACTGTCACATTACAGGTATAATAAATAAAAGATAAATTTTAATTTATAATAATAATATATTTTAATTTTTATTTAGCATATGGCGGATGGAACACCAACTTTATTAGTTGCTCAACCTGGTGGAACATTCATGCGAATTAAATGTAATCCAGAAGATTGTCATTTAGAAGATGAAACTGATCATAAAAGTAATGAAACAGAAGCAAGCTGTGTAGATTATCAAACATTGGGAATATCAAGAATGCGCAATCAAAATATTTCGACAGAAATCATCGGAGATTTGGAATGTATAGTAGAGAATAAGGTGTCAAGTTACGAATTCAAAGAATCATGTAAATCGAATGTTTTAAATGAAATTCAACATAGTAAAAATTTAAAATCTGTCTCGTTAGAATCTAAGAAAAATAATTCACAATTAGAAACAAGAAAAAGTACTATGGAAGGGCATAGAAAAAATTCAACGATAGACAATTCAAAAATGATAAAAATTTCTGGAACTTCTGATCTTTCTAATCGGGATCAAGTTGACGGTAATGTTTTGGGAGGCAACGTAATTCTTGGTGATTACGATATTAAGACGGAAAAAGATTCTTTATTACCTACATATAAGCATTTTTCATGTCGAGATAATAGCAATAATTATAATAAAGAAGATTTAAAAGGAAAGAATAAAATCGAAACTGATGCGAATATACAAAATAATTCTTTTCAAGGGAAACCTTATGCTCTTGCTACTTTAGATGGGACAATAATGTTGGTTAAGGATGAAGTCATTTTATGGTAAGATTGTAAAATCGCTAATTTAATAAATAAATATAGATTACACGATCTTTTTTAGGTCGATGCAAGTAGATCATCAGATATTCTCTTTATGTCGATTAGATGTAACTGGCGATGGTTCTGATGAGATAGTAGCTTGCGGATGGGATGGACAAACTTATATTTTAGATCAACAACGTAATAGTGTACGTTTTCAATTTGAAGAACCAATTAGAGCATTTTGTACTGGTAATTATAATGTTACTCCCGGATTTCCGACACCTTGCCTTGTATATAACAGTTTTAATAATAAGGTAATGTTATTATTGTAAATAGTTTTAATATACAAAATAATCAATATAAAATTACAAATATTAATATTTGCAGATATTTCTTTATTATGACGTTACACTTCCAAGTATGGTTACTAAGCCTTTAAATCCCATAGAGAAGCTTGATTTTGAAGAAAAGGAAATTTTAGACAATCTTCTAGGAAACTGTAGTGATATGGAGAAACAACAAAAGATGCGAGAGTTAACAGAATGGTTATTATACGGTATATCTTAAAAGATTTGATGCTGTAAATTATATAAAGAATTATATAAAGAAAAATATATATGTAAATTCTTATATTCCTTTTTTTGTTTTTTCTACATGATATATTAATATGTTATTAATATATTATTAGTCCGTATCAATAGGATTTAATTATTTGAAACAATCCGCTTCGTCATTTCTTAGCATGAAATGCATATATGAGTGACAAAAATTCTTACAAATTTTTAGTAAATAAGACAAGGAAGATATCGGTTACCGAATAACTCAAGGTTCAGTCTACAGAAAATGGTTTAAGGATACCTAATTATTTACAGAACATTGCGAAAGATGGAATGTTATCTACCTATCATAAATTAAAACTGGTGTCTGTGTAAAATCGGCTAAAATATAGCATCAGTTAGAACGTTATCATTATTAGTAGGAATATAGCTCTCATCGAGTATTTTTCCGAGCTTTTATCAAATTGCAAAATTTGATATTCATAGATGGACCATTAATCGGGATTTAATAAAAATTTCTATAATTAATAGCTATATTTCGATTCAAATATATCGGTTCATGTGTTGATAAATTTACTTTTCGATAACAAATAAGAAAAATAGAAAATCAAAACGTGAGTGTTACAAATATATTTGATCGATCTATTTATTGTACCATATCGAATATTATCGCATTGTAAATAAAATAGATTAAAATCGGAGTTTTTTTGTTAATTACAATAGCGAATCAACGATAGAATAAGTTGCCTAGTAAGAGAGTGACGAAGTAAAATATTCTTGTAGTGTTTAGTGTGATTTCATTTTCAAATTTAATTTCATGGATTTTAGAATGGCAGAAAACGAAACAAGATCATTGCTTGGACACGAATTGAAACACCTTACATTTGGATGGACCGATTACACATTGTTCGGTGGTCTTTTAGGGATCAGTGTACTTATAGGGATTTATTTTGGCTGTTTCGGCAAAAAGCAAGATAATACTACTGAATATTTGCTCGGAGGAAAAACAATGTCCTGTTTTCCTGTTGGCATGAGTTTAATTGCTAGGTAAATTATTGTGAAAAAATATTTTTCATAAAAACCAAATATAAATTGACAATTAAATTTATCGATAAAATAATATCATTTTATTCGATTAAATGAAAAATAATAAAATTGATGTTATAAATTGGTTTTTTTAATTTTTTTTAGTCACATATCGGCAGTATCTTTGCTCGCTATACCTGTCGAAGTATATCAATATGGTACACAGTATGCTGCCTGCATTTTCACATCATTTATAACGTGTGTTCTTATTTCAATTATATATTTGCCAGTATTTTATCAATTACAACTGACCAGCACGTTTGAATACTTAGAGCTGAGATTTACAAGACCTGTGAGGACGTTTGCCTCATTTCTTTATTCACTTTCTACGGTTATTTATGTCCCTTTAATCGTATATGTACCATCTTTAGCATTTTCTCAAGCAACAGCGATCGATCTCTATCTGATTACTCCGATAATCTGCATCGTGTGCATATTTTATACAACTATTGTAAGTTATTTTTTCAATTATCTCTTTTTTTATAAATAAGTTAATTTTGAAATAGATAGTTCGTATCGAAAAGATCTATTTCGAATCGTTCAAGCAAAAAATGTATACAAATTTAAATTTTTTTTTTACAAGTCAAATTTACAAGAAAATAATTCGCTTAAATATCTAGTGTATTTACATATTGCGGACAAATTACGAAAATTTTGAGATTTTCATTGTTATCGGAAACATGTTTGGCTACTGGATAAAACTATAAAGCAATAAACTATTGATCCGCAATGTGTTAAGAATCTTTAGATGACATCGATATTACTTTAATTATTAAATTTAGAGAATTTTAAATCATAAAAAAATCATATTCCTGTGATATATTCACCTTGTTCTTTCAGATAAAAAATCAAAAAGAAAAAAAATCTCAAAATCATTTTTCATTTGAAAGAGAACGATTCGAAAATCTGATAATCATATAAATTACATTATATATACAACGCTCAAGTTGGCAAATTTATCATAAAGAAAATACGAATGAAATATAATTAAGATTTAAGGCCGCATTAGAGAAGTCATCTTTTTGTCGCATCAGTATTCGTCAAATGTTTACTAATACTTAAAAATTAATAAAGATAGATGTGAACAAAAACTATAATCATTCCGCGTAGAATTATATTATGTAAATTAGATAAAATAATTGTAGATTAAATTATACGATTAAATTAAAAGACAAAACGTAAGATATACGATTTCACGCGACACGTTAATTTCCATTGATCGACTCGTGTCAAGTCGCATTTTTTAAATATTTTCGCCATTCTTTTTCATCATATTCAGGGAGGTTTGAAAGCTGTTGTATGGGCGGACACCGTTCAAATGATCGTAACGTTGGGAAGTCTGTGCGCCGTTTTCGTTTTGGGTATCATAAATGTGGGCGGTATATCGGAGATTTGGAAAATATCGGAAGATGGTAGCAGAATACAATTTTGGAAGTATGAAAATGAAATGAACGTTTAATTTAATTTCAAGGTAAATTGTTTTTCACCCTCTGTTCACGTATTACATATATTACATTCACACGTTGCAGCATGGATCCCAGTCCATTCGTTAGAAATTCTTTTTGGGGGATGTCGATTGGAATGGTGATGACGTGGTTACACGGACTTGGTATCAGTCAAGTGTCCTTGCAGAGATTCCTCTCTGTGCCTAATTTGAAAGAAGCGCACAAGTGAGTATCATTTTTTTAAAGAATAAGAGAATGTATGAGAGAATCTATATTTTCCGTTTGTTGTAGGGCAATAGCGCTTACGTGTCTGTGCATGGTTGTCATCAAATGGATATCCGTCTTTACCGGACTTATAATGTACGCCAGATATTACAAGTGCGATCCCATTAGTACCAAAGTATGTATTTTTTTTTCCTTTTCTTATCCGTTAGAAATATAATTATATTCCTTATTCCAAGATAAATAAATCAACGGATTAATTGGTTTTCAGGTAATTTCCAGGAGCGATCAATTACTTCCTTATTACGTATTGGACGTTGCTGCGAATATTCCAGGTCTTCCTGGCCTTTTCCTGGCCGGTCTTGTCAGCGCTGGCCTTTCGACGATGAGCGCCTCTCTGAACACAGTAGCTGGTACAATTTATGAGGATTTCATCGATCCATGGTTACCAAATAATAGTGAAAAAGAGCATAGAGCGGCGAATATTATGAAGGTATATCATAAAATAATAGATAAAATTGTTTGTTTATTTAGAGGAATATTAACAATAAACAATATTACGATTATGATTTTCAGGTTATTGTAGTTATCGTAGGATTGATTTGTGCGGTGCTAGTATTTCTCGTTGATCGTTTGGGCGATATTTTTCGAGTTTCTCTGACCCTTCATGGTATCACGGCTGGCTCAATGCTGGGCATTTTCACTTTAGGAATGACAGTACCATGGGCTACGTCGAAAGGAGCTATCGCAGGTGGATTAACTTCCATATTGTTTATGATCTGGATCATCGTCGGTGCTCAAGTGAATATGGCTCAGAAACGATTCTATTATCCACCCCTTCCTACTTCGACCGAGGATTGCATAAACGCAAAGAATGTATTTAATCAAACAAAGACGTATAATGATTCCTTGCCGATTGTCGAAGACAAACCATTCATTCTGTACACGATATCGTTCATGTATTACACTTTGCTTGGTTTTTTGATATCAATGGTTGTTGGAACAACGGTCAGTTTCATATTTGGGACTCCTGATCTACGAGAGGTCGATAGAAATCATTTTCCACCTATTGTTCAAAGGTACACTTCTAATTTAAATTTGCGTAAAAAAAAAAAAAGAAATCGTGAAATTATAATATATTTACAGACGCGCGTGTTAATTTTTGTTTTAGATTTTTACCACCGAAAAAATATACCGAGGTACCGATGCATTCGATTCCAACCGCGTTGATAACAAATCCAGAGAAAGAGAAACTCAACTCTTGATGATATTTCTTTTTTTTTCATTTCTTCCCTATGACAATGTGTATTCATAGCAAAATTGTATTCGTTTTTTAATAAAACTATTTACGGTTAAAGACAAATGAATTCCCGAATGATAAGGATCAGAGTATAATCCCGGGCAACCATTTGGCAACCAAGAAAGCTCTACATAACTGGTTCGCCCTGGGTTGAAAGCACCCATTAGGCCCTCGATGAGGGTGTCAAATTGACTAGATTATATATCTGTCCCACGCATCTCAATACAAACAACTCGTCTAAACATCTGGAGGAACGATGTCTATCGGATTAGGACGAATGGAAATGGGAAGGGTGTTTTTTGTCCAGTCATTCGTCGAGTCGGTCTTGAAAATCCGCAAAAGATCAATCGTCAAAATATGCATGAAGATGGTTGCACGTGTCTACGAGCGTGCGTGGCTTTTATCCGACAAAAAATTTAGAAGGCCATTTGGAAATAATGCGAAGAATGCCTCGCATTACATAATATCACTCCTTAAGATATTTTCATCAGATTCAAAGTCGAGTCCGTCATAGCATTGCATAAAGTTGTTACATTTCCTTGCAAACATTGTATCGTTTCATAAACGATAAGTCACGTTTGTTGCCCGCGATGGAGTTTGAAAAATTGCGATTTATCGTCGAACGGCTTACGTGGCCCACAATGGAGAAGACATTACGATCCCTATGAAAAATCAATGGCGAGGATATATTAAAATGGTACAAAAGACGCGTAATGCGCCCTGTGCCACGGCTACTATCAGTCACGGTTGACTAAACTAGTTTGCACCAGCTTTCTAAGCTACCTTATTGTTATAAAGTGTCAACGCTTCTACAACCATATCGCTTCGCCCCTATCGCGCACTTTCATTATACCTTTTGTTCGAAGAACAAGCGACACGGAATTCACCTTGTCTTTCCTTCTTCCTCTCCCTCGATTTAATTCGATCTTTCGAGAATTATATATACGGAGAAAATAAATACAACGATCCACGCGTTAAGATTCCGAGGTGAAAGTCGACGAAGGAAGTAACCCTTATCAAGG